ATAAGGCCTATCTGGAAGGGGATCACTGATTCTCATGATGCTATAATGATGTGGTAGCTCCGGAGGGTTGAATGTAATCGGAGGGTTGAATCACACCAGCGGCCCATTACTACTACTACTACTACGACGACGACGACGACGACGACGACTACTATTACTACTACTACTACTACTACTACTACTACTACTACTACCACCCTCTGCCACGCATCTAAGTGACGAAGTGCGACGGGCATGTCATTATCCGCCAGCATCAGCATTTGGTGTCTGTCAGCGAGTGGCTGGGCATTCGTTAAGTTGCAGTCCGGTGTCACGCTCCTGTCCCCATGAAAGTCACGATGGTTTTCGTTTTGCGTTCAGGCTACTTCGTGCCGAGTGGGCTGCAGTTGCACCAGATGACAAGGCGAGTAGATTGACAGCCTTGGACGGGCTCCTGTCCACGTGGCAGCAGCAGTGCTCCAAGGACATGAAAGAATTCAACCAGCAGCAATCTCCTATGCGACGACGTCATTCAAGCAAGGACTTAGTGCCTTCCTCTGACAGCGGCGACAAGTCGGACGACGACGAGAGCAAAGGGGGGTTGGACGATTCGGCGTCCCGTGCGAGAGGCAAGCCATCAAAGGGGGATTCATCGGCACCCAGCAAGTTAAGACGTGGACAGTCCGATGTGGGGAAGAAAAAGCGACGAAAGCTCGACGATCATGATCTTTTCAATTCTCGTTTCGGGGCTGAGCGGCCCCCGCTCGAGGAGCCGATGCAGGACATCTTCAGCATTTATGAGCTTCATGCCTACGTTGCGGCTGACTGTCTGTCTTCTAGTTCTGGAGAAGCCTCGTCAGGAGCAGGAGGATCCGCCCAGGATGCCAGATGTGCTTGCTTGGATTGCTGGGAACAAAGAGTTTTGGAAGCAGTACTTCCCACAGCCTTCGGATCTGGCAGTTTTCTCTCAGATGTTGCGAGATGAAGGCTTGGAGGAGCCTGTTTCCTGCCCTCCTCTCGCATGTCTGACTGATGCGATCATTTCTAAGTAGATTTACCTTGCAACAGGACTCGGCGATGGACTTCGCCGCGAATGCTCTCGGGGACGGCAAGACGGCCCTGTGGTCTTATCAGGAACTCGGGCAGTCGGCCCGAGCAACGTTTCAGCAGTTATCCTTCAAGGCCAAGAAAAATTTTGATTCTACGATTGCTGCTGTGGCCGACAACAAGGACTGCTGTTTTGAACTCCTGATGCTTACGTCTCGGAGTCTCAGCCAGCTACATCGGTTTCGTCCCTCGCAAGGAAGCTCTCCTGCATCCACCCGAGCAATCGCCAGTGAAGCCTCGCTGCTTGGAAGGTGCTGTTGCTTGTTCGTAGCACACGTCTACTCGCTTTACTGATGCGAGTCTTCTGTATGAAGCGCTTCCTGAGAGGTGCACTTGACAAGGCTATGCAAGCTGCGATGGTGGATAGACAGGCTGCTCCTTGGCCTTGATTGATGTGTCCGTCCTCTCCTATGCCTGTGTGCGAGAGACACTTTGCATATCTGTCTATCTGTTTCTTTACGTGGGTGTGCGTCTCCCTGCTTTGTCTCCGTCTCGCTCACTCACTCACTCACTCACTCACTCTCCCTCTCTCTCTGAGTGTGTCATCCTGCTTCTTCTCTTTGTCTCGAAGATTTGCTGTGCTTGTTGGGCCTCGACTGCTCAGGATGTGGTAGCTCTTAGCTTCAAGAATATTTTCTGCTTTTCAAGTCCTTTGCAGAAACCGACACATTACTTCGCGGGCTCGCCTTAAACCCCAAACCTAAACCATGATAGACAAACTCCCGACTCGATTTTCAAGCAGCTGAAGCCGAAGAGAAATTATTCCCCAAAACCCACCGCTCTGCCATCGGTGCCAAGGCATCTACGAAGGGAGTCGCAAATCCGGAGGACAGGGTTTAAGGGTTTAAGGGTTTAGGCTTTAGGGTGTACAGGTTTAGGGTTTAGGGGTTTAGGGGTTTAGGGTTTACGGTTTAGGGTTTAGGGTTGAGGGTTTTTGGGTTTAGGGTTTAGGGGTTTAGGGTTTAGGGTTTTAGGGTTTTAAGGCTTAGGGTTTAGGATTTTAGGGTTTACGACTTCTGGGCTCCAAAATACCCTAAACCCTAAACACTCAACCCTAAACCCTACACACTAAACCCTAAACCCCAAACCCTGAACCCTAAACCCTACACCCTAAACCCAAAACCCTACTGCTTCGCAAGGACCCGGAAACGGCTTTCGAGGCACAGTACGACAACAGCGACTGATGCAGGCAGGTGGTTTGCAAGCTGTTTCGCAACCTTGAGTTCGTTCGAGAGTCTCACATTCGGGTTTTGCTGCTGTCGCGAGCTTCGGCTGTTCAACCTGCCTGGCAAAGTAGAAAAGTAGATACCAGAATAATATGTCTTGATCGGATGTGTCTCCCATTCTTTCGGAAAAAAATACCGGGATGTAGCCCTCCTTCAAAAGCAGCCCTTGCGAAAAAATATTCATTGCCTGTTGGGTAAGCTTGCTCGGTGGGAAGAACAGTTGACGATAGCAGAAATCTGCCCCAGGAGCGCTGGTTTTCGAGAGGGGCACCTGCTACTCCGATGACGGCGCGGGTTAGAGTGGCCTTCCACTCCAGGAAGTCTCGTCTTTGGTCCCTGGTGGCTTTCCAGTTTTGCCAACTCGTGCACTGAGCAAGAAAAGTTGCGTGTCGATTAGGCTTCCTGCCAGCTGTATGTCTGAAAGATCGCCCAGCTAGGGTCGAAGCTCCCGCGGCGGCGCCAGACCTGGGGTTTGGGGGGGGGCGCGGGGTCTGGTCGATGTGCGGCAACGCGCTTCTACGCGGCCGTCGTGTGGCAACGCGCTTCTACGCGGCCGTCGATCTAGTTCTAGCCGGCACACCTAGGCTTCTTGCACAGTGCGCAACAGGCCCTAAGGCACGATGAAAAATATTCGCGGAGAAAACGGAACCAGAAATGAAACTATGTTGCGAAGCGAAAATGACAGGTGCCATGATGGAGCTATGTTGATTCGCCGTCGCGCAATCTTCTTGCTGAACGCGTTTCATTCTGGGAACGCATTTCACATGCAGGAAACGCAAAAAGAGAGAGAAACAAAAAAAGAAAAAAACAAAAAAAATAATGTAGGGCATGCTACTGCACGTCCGAACGCGCTTCTAAAATGAAAACCGTTCCCGTGGCCTCCCGGCTTCCAGATGGAGTTCAGGTTCTTTGCTTTGCTTGCGCCCTGCTGCCATGGCCCATGGCTCTCGCGTACTGTGTGCTCTTGCCGGGTTTTGCACGTCGCTTGGTTGCTCTTACAGCTGTGGACTTGGAGCTGCGGGTGCACTTGACCGGCTTCCTCAGTGACACCGAGTCGGAGGATTCCAGCCAGAGTGACGAGCATGCCTTACGCAGCCGCAGAGTTCAGTGGCTTGCCCAGGAATTCGGTCCTAGTCTCGGGTTAATGATGCCAATGCAGACGGCCGAAGGCCGGGGATACATCAGCATGCTGGGGCTGCACGTAGACGCTGACATGTGGCACGCATTGCGGGCGACATGTCCTGCCATGAGAATATCGCTGGACCAGAGTCGAGACATCATTCCGAATTTCATGCGAACTCGGCCAGTGGCCCAACACAGCCGGGTGCAAGAACTCTATTTTGAGACTGCTGTTCTCATGCGCTACCAAGAACAAGGTATGCGTTTGTTGCCTTAAGTGCACGATGGTGGCCCACCTGCGAGTGCTAGAAGAAAGTAACTGTTTTGAGACATGTGCACCAACTGTGGCCTGTGCATGCGGACTGCTTTTGCAACGCCACGCAGCACCTGTTCCGCAGCCGCTTTTTCGCTTGCAGACTGTTCGGATCACAAGGCTCATGACAGTTCCCAAACTTGTCTTGTCCAAGTTCACACTCGTGCAAAGAGTCGAGCTATCGTGTGCATGCGGCTCTTACACGTCAATCTAATCTGATCTTTGTCGCTCTCCTTTCTTTGGACTTTCAACATGGACTTGGAGCAAGCGGTCGGAGTCGAAGAACCCGGACCATGGCAGCAGGCCTGGGAGAGACAGTAGGTGAGCATGCTATCCTTTGTTGGCCTGCCTGCAACACAGGTCGTCAATGCCGTGGCCGAGAAGTTGCAGAAGCTCCTTGAGAAACAAGAGAGACAGGTCTTGGCAAGTAAGGGCGATGTGGACTCCGACAAAGTTTACGTTCAAACACATCAGATGATCGGGAAATTTCTCTTGTCCTGCTTCGAACAGGGAGCAACAAGTCTCAAGCAAATGATCATGGCTGTGGGTCAGGCGAGAGCAAGCACAGATGTCGTTCTGCCCATTCCTCCGCTGCCGGATTTGCAAGAAGAAGGCGATGTCCAGGAAGCAGATGCTCAGCATGAGCCCAAGCCCGGTGGAGCTCCCACGAATGCTTCGCCTAACTTCGAGTGGCTGTTTCTCCAAGTGGATGCCAACGTGTGGTCTGTCATCAAGGCCAGCAACAACAGGTAGTAGCTTTCGGTTTCACACCCATGCGACTGAGACTGTAGAGGGGGTTTGTGGGTGCAGTGCCAGCTTCTGTCGTTTTTGATTCCGTGAGAAGGCCGACTCCAAGCAGACGAATACGAACGGTTACGGCCACTTCTTTTGCTGCTCGGAGTTTTGGTCTTTCAAGACACCTTTTACTGCATGGTACAGCAAAACTTGGCAATCCCTCGCGCTACCTCTTTTAGACAGCTGGCAACTGAGCCATGCACATGCCTCTTGGCTTCCTTATGCCTCAAAGTCTTTGTGCCCCCTCAACAGTCCCTCGTTCTTGCTGTGTAGACCAGGTTACCCGGAAGACAGGCTACAAAGGGGAGCAGACAGCAAAGGCCAAGTTTTGTGTTCCTGTGGACGTCGCCACGGGGCCAGGCATCATGACGTGCTTGGCATGCTACATGCAGAACAGAGGTCTCACGAATGAGGCCATTGCCGCTGCCTGGCAAATCGTGGAGGTTCTGGAGAGACAGAGCTGCTTCAACGAACACCTAAAGCTGCTGCCGGACGTGCCAGAGGTGTGCCTGGAGGTGCAGAGAAATGCTGTGAGTCTCCAGGCTTTCCAGGAAGCCTTGCGAGTCATGCACTTGGAGGTCATTCTGCCCCTCATCCCGCGGCGCCTCGCCAGTGTTTTCAGCATCTCCTCTCCTAGGCACCAAGTAGCTGCCCAGGTACTTCGCCAACCAACGCCAGTCTTTGACAGTGGGGCAGATCTTGTTCGTGCTCTTCGCTGCGCGGCAGAAGCCACAGATCAGAGACTCCGACGTGGCCCAGCAGGTGACGAAGCGAGTGATGCATCAGTTCTGTCAACATCTTGAACTCCGGTTGTGTCGGCCAGAAAGTGCTCTCTTGAAGCAGTGCCCGGACCCGACCAAGTGCTCGACGTATCATCCGATGCTGCGAGACTCTCGTCTCAAAGGCAACCCTGCGGTCCGCGACAAATTGCTCGGCCGCTTTGGGTGCAAACCTGGAGGCTTTTGCAGCAGCAAGGATGAGCTTACTCTGGAGGCCTTAGGCCTGGTGTCGAAGCAGTCCAAAATTGCCTCCCGGGCATGCGGCGAGTTCATGATCAGGTATTATGCAAAGAGTTCGGAGATCATGACAGAGGATCTCAAGCGGCAGGGTGGCTCCCGAGTCTTGAACCTGTGCCTCGATGCTGCCAGGGTCTGCAAACAGCAGGCCGGGTCCCTTGAAAAAAGTAGTCTCTTCCAAGGGCTTTGAGCCCTGCAGGTGCTGTCCATCCAGTTGCGGACTTCGGAAACGCAGCAAGCAGCCTTGGTGCAGATTCTGCCAGACTCTGCACCTTGCAAAGATGGTGCGACGACCCTGCAAGCTTTGGAGCTGGCCTTGGAAGGCAGCATGCCCAGCGAAGGCCGGAAGCTTCGCGACACTGCGAAGCATCTGGTCACGTATCGCACGACCTCAAAGCAGCTGCTCTTGTCTTTGAAAAACGGCCTCGGTCTCTTGGTGCCTGGCTTCAGCTTCGCAAAGTGCATTCCTCAACAGACCCTCGTCCCAAGAGGCACGATGTACCGGTACGAGCTCACGCCCGAAGAGAAGAAGTTGCTCGGGGTGCCAGCAGACTTGACAAGGTTCTTTCTTTACAACGATGCCACAGGAGATTCTCGTGTCGACTACCCGCTGCCAAGTAGACTTCCTCTGCATCGCATCGTGTATGCAGGGGACGAGGGAACCGAGATGTTCATTTGCTACCAGTTTCTCTGTGAGAAGGGCGTTTCCATATGTTTTTGGCCAGATTTGTTTCACAAATGCCACCGCAAGCAAGCAGCTGCTATTGCTTCCAATGCCGAGAGCTCCTCCCTTTTGCGAAACCTGATGCGTATGTTTCGATCGAATAGAGGACCGTTTGATACTTCCAAATTCGGACGACAGAGGATGGAATCCCGCGGTCGCCTAGTCCAGGCACTGGAGGAGAACCCTCAGGCCACCCTCCTCGAGTCTTGCATGGCAGGCATCGCCCGTGACGAAGGGCTGTCGATGCATTCCCTCACGAATCGCGAAGCGGTCCGACGTTTGAAGCAGCATGCAGGCTTCTTGTCTTGATAACAGAAACAATCACGAATGTTGCTCGAAGAACTATGTGGATGCTTTTAGTGCTCCAAACAAAGCCAGGTCCATAGAAAATCGTCGGGTTTGCAGACTTTCGGAATCATGGTCCCTAAAATCCTAAACCCTAAACATTTTAGAAGCTCAGGCCAACTCCACTGGTCCCAGTCGGCAGCGACGGAGGGACGCTGGTTCGCTTGGTTCGACCATGCGGTCGCCTGCGATCGAGCCTCTGCACAGTGTGGTGTCAGTTCGAAGTATTTTTGTAGCCTCATGTCTAAACCCTAAACCCTAAACCTTAAACCCTAAACCCTAAACTAAACCCTAAACCCTAAACCCTAAACTAAATCTGTCGGATTCAAAGTCCACCTCTGCATTGTACATTCCCTCTACTGGGCACTCAT